CTGAGGACGAAGCATTAACAACACCGATTGATCATTACAGGGTAGAAACTTTCCAGACAATAATTGATCAATTAAACATGAGTTTAAATGAAAGATTTTCATCCAATATAGATTTGATTACAGATGCACAGTTATTACATCCATCTAGTTTTGACGAAAATCTTAAAAACTTTCCAAAAAATGGTTTACTAAAGATAGCTAATTTAGTAAATATTCCTCACAATACATTGGTAGAGGAACTTGTAGCATTTTCTAAAATATATCCATCAATGAATGGAACTCTTTCTCAAAGAGCTGAAGAAATATATGATAATATGCACAATAATGAAAATAATTTAGTTGACGATGATTAGACTGATGAAGAAGATGACACAACTCCAAATGCAACTATGGATAATTTAGGTATGTTAAGTTAGCAATATTTAATTAATAACTTGATACATTTTTATTTGTGTTTACTTTATTCAACAGATGTTGATAATGGGTTAAGCTACAAGTTTACTATTCATAAAAAAAAGTCAGCTACTGGAAAACAAAGCAAATGTTCTGGTTGTTTAATTTGTTGTTTTAAGCTATTATTTAAATTTAATATGCATTCGGTGGCATTTACTAATTTATACTTGGCATATGAATTTATTCTCACTTTGTCCTTTACTCAGGTTAACTGTGAGAGAAGCTTCAGTAAGCTTAAAATTATTAAAAGTAGATTGCGTTCATCAATTGGAAATGAAAAATTAGAGGCATTTATGTTGATGAGTGTAGAGAAAGAGTTGTTAGAAGAAGTAAATTTTCAAGAAATATTACAATATGTGAAGCAAAGTTCCTCATAGATGTGCAAATTATTAAGTTAATTAAATAAAGAAATAAAAAATATATTATTTGATAATATAAACTAATTCAGTTTTTACCATTTATATACCTATATTATATTATAGCTGATGTTTGACTGTTTACCAAGGGATTAGTAAACATGTTGAAGAGCTTTGGTTCTCAAAATATCCCCTGATTTCTACCAATTGTCAATAATACATTAATATACAGAGATAAGTTAAATTACTTGAATCATTGTTTTAAACAATTATATAGACCAGAATTGTATAGAAGTATGTATTGTTATTACAAGTTCGTATATTAAAAAACACGTGGGTAATGGGCTGCTACTTTTTCAAATCTCCCTGGGCCGATCTATCCCCAGTCCGCCTCTGACCGAGTACAAAAGAATCAATATTTTTTCAATATATTATTATATCCATAATGCATACCTACATGTTTATATATATACAAACGTGAAACCATGTGCCACCTCTGTAAAACTGAGATACGATGATAAAGTGCAGCATTTTTTTTTCAGACAAATTCAGATTAAATGCATTCAGATTAAAATAAGTTATGTAATTTTGTTCACATTTGAACATAAAACAACTATAAAAAAACGGCATTTATGTTTATATTTGAATGACATCAATTTTTTTGTGTTATGTAGTATACTTTCAGTAAAAACTCAATAAACTGAAAGTAGTTTCTATAGTCGGACATTTCAATGAGTATAAAAAATTATTTTCGAAATTATATTCATACGAATAATACATTGAGAATCACTGCATGGTTTTCTTTAAAGCTGATGTTAAATTTTCACCCCTCGTATTCCGGATTCGTAACCTTCACAATATATAAAATGTTGTATGGTCCAATATAATATTCTACACATAATAACAATTGGATTAGAATTTATTTGAAAAATAGGCAGTGGTTGCATTAGTGTGTGTGCGTATGTATGTGTGTGTGTGTGTGTGTGTGTGTGGGCGGTGGCGTTCATAATATGCAAGTATACAAACAGAGTGGACCTTGTGTGCCGTTCTCGCCCCTCGTCCGTATATCAAATCGAGTGACCTAACCACGGAAGTGACCGACTCTAGTCTAAAATATGTATAATATTATAATACTGTTTTTAGTTTGTTTTTAAAATAACCATAATAAATTGTAAATTTTGATGAACGTGCTTTCATACGATTCTCGACTTATCCTTACATAGGGATCTAAGATTTCTTGAAATTAATTTATTTGTGTGTGTGTGTGTGTGTGTGTGTGTGTGTATGGGTCCAATACGTTTTTTCTAGTTTTAGCGAGTCATCAATAATTTTTATCATATGTACTGAGCAGCAATAAGCGAGATAGAATTGATATTTTAAATGCCAATAATATGATTCAGTAGCACTAGTGCCTCGTATAATAATCTTATCATTGTCCGGAATTTCAGCCCAAATGTCTGGAAGATGTATAGGTAATATAATAAATGTAGGCACATCTCTAAAACCTAAAAAAAAATGTTAATGTCTATTTTTTGATTCATTAAGCAAAATGCATATTATTCCATTATTTTGTAATTGTTTTTGTAAAATGAATTTGTGAATGCTTATTAAGGCAATAATACGCACCAAAAATAAACTTTATTGTGCTTTATGTAATAACTTTTGGGTAAAGGATTTTTGGGCATATTTGTCATTGTTTTTATGTTCATGTAGGTACCTATAATTGTACCGAAAAATCCTATTTGAAAAACATTTAAAAATATCTCTCGAAGAGTTAATAGTTGCATAAAAGTATAAAATATTCTTTTAAATAATCTTTAAACTGGTAAAGTGATATTATGCTGAAATTACAATTTTGTTTATAGGTACTTCATTCTCGGAACATTTTTTTTGTATTATAATAGCATATCGGGAACACCTCCCTGCAGAATAAAATCTATACAATACATTATGTCTAGGGCGTGCAAACCCTCGGAATTTACCCATATATCGGACGAAATACACAATGTGAACGGATCGCCCACGTCGTTTGTCGATCCACAACACTTAAGCCGACTAAAAATGAGCAGATGAACTATAACAAAACTGATTTACATCTACAATACATCACCAATATAGTAAATATTATGTACTGGTATTAGTGTTTTCTTTTGTGTTCTTTTATAAACCTTGTTGTGAACTTTTCAATGAATTTTTCTTTTTTCTGTACCAATTTTCTTGATCAACTGCAATTAACGTACAAACCACATTATACGGGTTCTAAGTTATCGTAACCTAATTAGATGGATTCACTACACAATTTTTCATTCGACTTTTATACTACACTAGATAAAGAACTCCTGTATTATTTATATTGTTATCGGTGAAGCTTGGCAGCCATTTTGTCGAAAATGTTTTAGGAATAACATCGTTCTTAATGGTTAAATAAAATAATTAATGTTAAATGATTAATGTAAAATATTTTTATTAACAAGAGGTTTAGCAATAATACAAACAATACTAAATAATTAATAGTCCCCATATAAAATACCATATAATACCAACTAAGAAAAAGGCTTCAACTGATAGAGAGAGTTCGTTATCTAGTACTATCTGGTGCTATATATAACTACGTTTACATGCATCCATTAATTCGTATTAACTTGATTCGTATTGAATCAATTCGAATTAGGTTACAAGTATACATACTATCGTAATACCGTATTAGGATAATACACTTCCACCAAACCAGTTTACGTTGCAACGGTTATATGCACAGTTAAAACCGATTTAACTCAATTCGAATTAATAATTTCATTTTTTCCCTCCAATTTATTCTGCGATATTACATATTCCATTGATAACAATTATACGATAAAATTATTATAATTTAATATTTATTATTTATAGCTAATAGTTATCAGTTAAAGTAATTAATTTTTAGAACTTTGTTGTGTTTAATGTGTAGAATTTTGTTAAAACTCTATGGAGTATGTCTTCTTCTAACTATTTACAATTGTTACAAATGATGGAATTATTACGAATGAATTTGAAACAACAAAATAAAAGACGTAACAAACTGAGACGCTTAGTTATAAAAAAGCGAAGGGACTTCAAAAATAAGTTACGTGATGACTTGGAAAAAATGAATTTACATTATCGTCAACAATTGCTTGATAGCTATAGATTAATTATTGGACCTTTATTAAATGGACCACGTATAAGGAGTTTATGGATGAAAAAACGTTCTAGCGACTGGTGGCTGGAAATAGTTAATGTCCAGTTTAGAAAAGAAGACTGGATTGAAAATTTTCGTATGACAAAAGAAACATTTGAAAAGATTGTCAAGTATGTTTCTATTAAATAAATAATATCAATTGTAAATTTGTAATTAATAGGGCTATAATACATTTAGAGAACTAACAATTCATCTGCAACCAAATTGTTTGCCTGTAAGAGCGCCTGTTGCAATTAATAAGAAAATTGCAATGACTATTTACAAATTGGCAAGTTGTTGTGAGTACAAGATAGTAGGAAATGCTTTTGGAGTGCACAAAAGCACAGTTAAAAAATGTTTATATCAAGTGGTCAAAGCTATAAATACTGTACTTCTATCCAAGTATGTGAAGTTTCCTGATGAAAACGAAGCTTTACGTATAGCAAATGCTGTGGAAAAAAAAACTGGGATGGTACAGGTAGGTGTAAATAATAAACTATAGAGACAACTTTTTATTGCACACTGATATACCCGATACCCCAGATAATTTGTTTAATAATAAGTTTGCTAACTTTTAATTAAATTTAAGGTTATTGGTATGATAGATGGAACACACATTCCCATATTAGCTCCAGTTAATGGTAGATTAGACTACATTAACAGAAAAGGTTGGACCTCACTCATTTGCCAGGCAGTGGTAGATCACGAATATAAGTAATTAAACAAATTAAACATTTACTAATAAATTTACTAATTTTGGTATAACTACTAATGTAATATACCTATAGAAATTGTGTGAACGACAATAGTCAATAACTAAATATAATTCAATACTGTTAACATCTCATTTAGGTATATTTATAACTCTTATTTTTTAATAATTAGATTTACTGATATATGTTGCAAATTTCCGGGAAGTGTACATGATGCTGCTGTTTTAAAAAGCTCAAATTTATATAACTACTCTCATCAAAAAATACCTTCAATTAAAAAAAATATTGATGGTGTAGATGTACCTTATTTTTTGCTCGGTGATCCAGCATATCCACTCCTTCCATGGTAAATGAAAGGTATAAGAACTACTTTTTTCTTAGACTAAAAATTGACTATTTTATATATTATATTTATTTTAAGGATATACTGGTAGTGTAAGCATTGAGGAAGATAATTTCAACACATATTTAAGTTCGGCGCGTATGGCAGTTGAAAATGCTTTTGGAAGGTTAAAAGGTAGATGGAGATGCCTACAAAAAAGGATTGATATTCACCATAGTTTTATTCCATCTGTTGTATCTTGTTGTGTCACACTACACAATATTATTGAATTGGAGCATGATCATTTTAATACCAAATGGTTAAGAAATGTTGAAGACTCAGATGTAGTTTACCCTCAGCCCACAACCAGCGTAACAAATCGTAGAGACACAAGTTTAAATGTTGACGATATGAAGAATATAAGAGAACATTTAAAAATGTACATGGTAAACAATTACCCATTGAGAAGTTCTTCAGTCAGGACATTATAATTTCTATTTTTTTTTTATACTTATATGATAATATATACTTCAAATATATGACAGATATTAATGATACCTATGGGTATTCTTTTTTTANCACGTTTATTGATGTTTTATAAGTTCACAACCAGCGATATAATCAGAACTCAGTAGTTTAGCCTGTTCAAGATTAAAGTAGATAGGTAATAAATACATATAATCATAAATATTAAATATATACTACATTAAAAATTGTAATGTCATATGTAAACCATTTTTCAGATTTAAAATATACCTACTAAATAATCAATTACCAGATAATAATTCAAAACACTTCAAAATTCGATTACGTTACTCATAACAGAAATTACTGGATTACTCGATTATTTTTCTCATAATCGAAATTATTCGATTACTCGATTATTTTACTCATAATCGAAATATCTCGATTATAAAAAACAATCGAGATATCTCGATTATGCCTATCACTAGTCGTCCGCCGTCGCCGTCATTACCACCATTCTTTTTTTCGTTTTTGATTGTTCACCCGAGCCCTCGTCCTCACCGAATTCGTCGCGTCCGCGATTCCGAGTTCCAGCCACCTGTGCCGACCTTGTTCGTTTTGATTTTTTTTCGTGTGACTTGAGCCCTGCTCGTCCACTAGTTGACGTCGCTTTCGCCCGCCGAGCTAGGCTGTGCGAACACGTCACTCGTCGTCGTCATCCTACTTGGGTATTGGTTATTGCTGTCGCCCAAGTCAACGGCATTAATCCTGTTCCGCCGTATATGTTCCACGGAGACGGTGAGGCCGCCCTGCAATCACAATTGTGTGTAAAAAAAATGCGTCGGTGCCGTCATCCTAAGAATCCATCTTCATTCGAAAAACTGATAGATATCTTGAGCCAACAACAAAATTCAGCATATGGATCAGCAATGCACAATCCATCCTCTAAGTAAAATTGTACGAGCATTATCCATAAAAATAAAATATTTTAATATATTTTTGTTTAGTTTTTTTCAACAACAATTACCATTAATGGCAGAAGGCGAAAGGGTTGGCATAGTTTTTGCAAATTTAGATGCGATTCAAAAATATAGGAATGAGCTGTTCACAGTAACCCTTGTAGGAATTGATGGGACTTTTAAGACGGTTCCCAGATATCCACCTCAGTTCACCAAAGGTTGGCTTGTGACATTTCAGGTGGTTTTAAAAATGTAGTAAGTATAATTAGCATAATTATTTCATTTTTCTGAAGTACATACTTATTGACTGTATTTTCCATTTTAGTCTTTTCCAATGGTTTACACACTGACTTCAAAAATGACCCAGGCTGTATATGAGTCTTTTTTGATAATTACTCGCCAGATTTTTCTGTTAAATTATGCGGAGCTAGTAATAATATCGGATTTTGAAAGGGGTTTGATAAATGCTGTGAAATCAACAATTCTCGAAAGCAAATTCCAGGGGTGTTGGTTCCATTTTTGTCAATCTGTTGTAAGGCACTGCAAAAGGAGTTTAAATAGTATATTTAATCTATTTCAATCAAGTCCTGAGGTGGCTAAAATATTGCGCATGGTAATATAATTGATAACGGATTACTGGAATTAAGGGACGCTACACGGCCATTTGCTGTTTCCGTCTTACAACTGCATACATTTATTATGTTACACACTTGTAAGATGGAAACAAAAAATATCTGTGTAGCATCCTCTTAATAAGAATATATGAAACAATATACTTTTAAATTATAATGTTTTACAAAAATGTCTGTTATAGATCTTAGCCTTATCACATTTGCCAGCACAAGTACAACCCAATTGTAGATTCACAATTTACAATGGGTTTTTAGGGTAGTTGTTGATTTTGCCAACTAATATCCAAACATCGCTCAAGGTTTGGACATTTTTCTGTTTAGTTATATTGAAGATTTTTGCCTCATTGAAATTGGCGCTGCATACATAGGTGTTTACGGGTATAAGAATTTAATAATATAAAACAAAATAATTATAAATAAACAACCTAATAGTTTTAAAATACATACACTTTTTAGTTCTGATGTCCGCACTAACAATTATTTGGCGCCATTTGATGCGACATTACTAAACCAAATGGGAAAACATCCAAATATTTCGGATTTTTTGCGTAAAATCAATTTTGTAAACAATATTTGTTCGGAAATTAGAAGTCTAATCTAACTTTCTACATAACCTATGGCTTTTTATTTATTTATTTAGTGCTATGTATTAAATGTTATGATTTAAGGGGGTTGGTTACAATATGTTAAATAATAAGTAATTAAATATTTTATTTTTATTCTAGAAAAACAATTGCTGATCGAAAATCAGTTTTATATTGAAATGGGCCAAGTTCGAAGAAACCCAACAGTAAATTAATGATTTCATTTAATTTTAAATGTATGTACAAAATACTTATTTATATGTTTTTGTTATTTTTAAATGTTAAGGTTAGAAACTATACGCCTAGCGTGGAAAGAGTAGATGCAACCCGTAGGATAAGATATTACATTAAGAGGACGTCGAACGTGTATATTGAAGGTGTAAAACATGCCTCAGCTCTATGCACATTACACAATACACAAATACAGCAGAAACGTGATTTTAACACTAATAGAAAGATCGTGACTTAAACTGTGCTTTCTCGATGTTTTTTTTTTTTTAATTATTTTATTTTGTTTTTATACGGAGGAAAAAAATAAAAATAAATTACATTTTTAAACTTAAATATTTGTTTATATACCCAATCAATCAAAAAAATCTCTTCGAGGAGGCATAGTTTAATCTCTCTTCTTTCAAACTAACTAAACACAATTCATCTAAGAGAATTATTGAAGGAGCTGTAACTGTAGAGCGAATGATAGTTATTTTTTTTAATTTAAATATATTTGAGTCGTCAAGTGCTGCGCCTATCGGCACACGAATGAAATCAGTCTATTTTAAACGGATTGTGGTGGCGGAGTACGGACCTACGTGAAACTGGCACTACAAAGTTGGCACAATAACCTGAAACCAATCCAACAAACTTTACTCGGACTTGTTGGACGTTGTTGGACAATTGTTGGAATTTGTTGGAACGTATTTCAAAAGTTATTCAAGTTCAAAGTTTGTAGTGCCAACTACATGACCAGCACTACATATGCAAAAAAAAACTTTAAAACTCTACCAAAAATACTCGTATAACATTGTTGGACATTGTTGGAGAATTGTTGGAATTTGTTGGAACGTATTTCAAAAGTTATTCAAGTTCAAAGTATGTAGTGCCAACTTCACAACCAGCACTACAAATCAAAATAAATATTGGGTTCTGGTATTCAACCACTTTAAAACATGGTCCAACAAACATGTTTACACAACATAGAACAAGAAAATTTATCCCAACAACTTTTCTAAGTTATTAAATCACCATTTTCCTCTAGCACTACATTTTTCATTTTAAACATAATTTTCATATTAAAATGTTCAACTGTCGTTATATTGAGATCTGAAGTCCAACAACTTTGAAAAGTGGTCCAACAAACATGTTTACACTTAATAGAACAAAAAAATTTATCCCAACAACTTTTCTAAGTTTTTAAATCACCATTTCCTTCTAGCACTACATTTTTCATTTTACACTTATTATCCAAATTGAAATAAATAATTTTTTGTATTATTAAGTTCTGGTGTCCAACAACTTTAAAACGTGGTCCAACAAACTTGGTTACATATCATAAATTAATTTTTAAATCCCCATTAACCTTGCAGCCCTACAATTTTTTATCTTATAATTGATATTCCCCTATTAGTTATTTTTATTTTCATGCTATTGAGTCTAAGACCTAAGAAATTATTATGATAATACAACTTGAAAAACTTTTTTATTTTTATAATTATTTTCTTTTGATTAAACTTTGATTTCATAACATTAGTTCTTCTTGTTTTGTAAATAGCATGGTGTGTGGTTTTATCTTTTTCGTCTCTTTACATCTATTAACTCGTAAGGACAAGTCGTCATGGCACTCCCAATATCCATGTATCCGTCTACAATATGTTACATAGTGAGGCAAACTTCCCTCTACTCCTTCGACAAATGCTATGACTGCTACAAATCTGTACCTGTAATTATATTATTATTATGAAGATAAATTTTTTAGCTTCATAAGTTAATCTGAATTTTTTTTTATTAAGGTTTTAAATAATATCATCTTACTTATATTCATGTATGTTTATATTGAGTGGTATGTCTTCCAGCTTAAATTCCATGTCCATACCTTTGTACATAATTGTGTCGAACCAAATATGCTGATTAAGTGTTTTTGTCACAACTATTGTACCATTGCAACCACTGTGATAACATTTTCTATTATATGTATCAATTGGGTCTGGCTTCATATTGTCTATAGCATTTTGTATTTGTTTAAATCCTCCTAATAAGAAATAATATGTAAATGCACAGTGTTTGTTTTAATTTATTTATTCAATAACAACTTTTCGTATTTGTATATTACTGTATCGTAGGAAACACATAGGTATGAAAAAAAAATGATAATTGTTTACCACCCTGTATTTATTGTAGAAGATGAATACCTTTACTCATCTATACTATACTATATTAACCTCATTTCAATCTAAACTTTAAAATAATAGAATTATACCCAAAATGTTTATCCGACATAATATTATGTTAAATGCGTAACATTATTTTACAGAAATATTCTCTGGAATCTGTTTATAGTGAATAATTAAAATAATAAATGTTTATAATTTAAAAATCAATTGTTATTAGGCCTTTTACTATCAAATAATATAGGCAAAGATGAAATAAAATAGTTTCTACATACCTAAAAATAATCACACTGTGTGTATGTTGAAAAAAAAAATATGTTCATCGAATTAATAATATTTTTAGTACATTATTCATTCACAAAATATTGGTCTTTGCATTATATCTACCTATGAATTTAATAATAATTTTATCATATACATTTTTTTTTATATATATTTACCTTTATTGAGTTCACCGAGATTTATTGGAATGAATATCAATGGTTTCATAGATTGCCTAGCTTCGGTGTCACATGTGTGATATTCCCAAATACTTGGTTCATCTTTAATTAAAAGCTCCAATAAGTTATTAACGTTGAACCGGCAATCTAACTCCATTAGTCCACACATCAATTTGGATTTTTGCCCTGAGGATTCTAGTATAGTAGCTCTTTGTGTATAAAGTGATGAATTCGCCCCATTGTGCACTAAGTATTTTGAAAGCTGCAATACAGAATTTGTTGATACATTGATATAATCTGCGTATGCATTTGAATCAATGTATCCAGTAGCTATTGCTTGAACCACTGCGTCAAATGGACATGTATTTAATACTTTGTATTTGATGGTTTTTTTTCCGATTTTTAAGGGTGTTGGATTCAAACAGTTTCCGTTTCTTACTATGTCGATTGTTTGTTTTGACTTTGCTCGTTTATATTTTATTTCAGGGTGGTTAACTAAGTACAATGATTTCCTCTTTTTCGGAGATTGGGCTTTATTTTTCCAATTTTCTTTTTCTTGTAGCTCCGTTATTTCTCCGTCTTCTTCTTTTTCTGATTCCTCCGTGGTATCTAATATTTCATTTTTTATTTTTGGTTTCCGAATCAAGTCATCATCGTCATTCTCAATCTCATCTGATTGTAACTGTAAGGCATTGTATTTACTATTTTTATTATTTATGCTATTTATAATTTTTGACTCTGAACTACTTTCTATTTTTTTCAATAGATTTTTATTTATTTTAACATCTTCTTCTTTTGAGTCGTCTTTGGTATCTGTTATTACATTATTACGTTTTATTGTATTATTAATTTCTCTTATTTTTATTGTGTTACCATTATCATCGCCTTCGTTGAATTCAAATTCATTTGTTTTTATAACACTTTTTGCGATCTTCATAGAACCCCTGATAGCTCTAAGGTGTGTTACAACAAACTTATCCAATCGGAGTCTAGGCTTTCGTTTATCAATAACGGTAGATTTAAGATCTGCAAAATAACCTTCTATTCTCGCAGATGAACCAATTTTATTGGGACATTTAAAATGTTTTTACCATTACTCCCGACCATAGGGAAAATTCTTTACATATATTTAGTAAAGGTCTTTTTAATTCTGGGCAATAATATGCATTTAATCTATTACCTTTAACTACCGACTCTTGTAAAGAGTCTCTCTCAACTGAATTCAACTAATTAGTTAAAAGTGATGTGTCTAGAGATTTGTTTTCGTTTTGTTCTGAGTCAAAATAAAATGTATTGTCATTCGATATTCCTTTGTATTTTTCACCATCAACAATATCCATATTTTTGACACCAGAAATGACATTTTCCAAAAATATTCTAGCCGTTTCGGACGGCGTTTCTTGTTTGGCGTTATTATCATAGCCATCGGTTTCAGCTAATGCTAGAATTAATATACTTCTCAAAATTGAATCGAAGATATCAAAATATTCAGATTGAATTAGTAAACCTATTGCACGCACATAAAAATCTTTTATTTGTTTCCTTCCTTGTAAACATTTCCACCTACAAATCATGTGCACTAAGTGTGCAACATCGATGCGAATAAAAGATGCAGGGACATTTGTAGAATTATTTACGAGACAAGAAAAACAAGCTTCAGTGTAGTCTTGAAGTGACATCTTGTTACAAAATGCACGGGTTATGGCACCAAGTAATGCCTTTGAGTAGTCTGAAATACATTCGTCGGGTGGTTTCATTCCTGAAGACACCCAATTTGCCATCCAATAGTATATGCTCAACGTGTCTTGTTTTTCGGATAGCTGCTGTGCTATCGGTATTGTTTGACTTTCATAACTCGTTACCATTTGATATAAAAAAAATATGACCCGAAGATATTTTACTGGAAGTTCTTTGATATGGTAGTATTAATGAACCCGTTGCATCAACTGAAATTGTCACCCACTTTTGTCTTCTGATCACTTTGTACATATGACATTGCGTTGGTGACCAATAATGTACAAAAATTTTATCAATACTAATGGTATGTATGCTACCATTATGTTCAGAACCATGTTTCAACTCGATTAACGATAATACCGGATCAGACCCTTGTATCCCTAAGTTACTATCCACAACATCTTGCTTAGCTTTTCGTAAAATATCTTTACTATAGAAAGTTGGAGGCTGATCATCCCCAAACTCCATACACTCATCAGCAAAGTTTCTTTGCCATTGAGTAGCACCAATACATAGAACAACCTCACCAATTTTTTGACGTTTTGGATAACGTAAAAATCGTTTTTTATTTTCTGTATGCTCTACACTAATTGTATTTGCAGTAATTATACTTACTTCCACATCATTATCTGCTATTGGTTCGTCCGCAACATCGCCGAAAAATGCTGTTTTACAATTTGCGTCTACACAGTTCCCACTAAATGTGATAAAATCACCTCTACCAGAATATGATACATGGTGTTTTTTAATTACAAATGTGCAAGGTAGCTTATGTTGTTCCCAAAATGTATCCAAAATTAAATCAGTCCACCCTACTTGTAAACGCCAGTACTTTCGAGGTCCTAAGCGTGTTTGATATTTTTTTTCAACGGGCTGTATTTGGTTATATGAACTGTACTTAATTAAAATTTTGAATAATTTGGTCGGTGTGCGGTCTCGAATACTTTTTTTTGACTTGATTTCTGTACAAAAAATAATTGTAATAGAAGTTAATTTAAAATAAAATGAAAACTAATAAGTGAATGTTATATAGAAACATAACTTTAATTTTAGATTCTGAGAATAGCAATGAATATAATGATTTTACAATAATTAAGTTTGTGTGTATTTTTTGTGTCTGTGTACACAATAAGAAGTTGATATAATGTTCAACTTCAGTATCTTTTATGGTGAGAAAGTGAATCAAATTGGTAAAGTCACGTACATGTACCTAGCTCCCTCACAATGGAATTTTCAATGTTTTTTTTGGCAAATATTTATAACATGTAATTATCATGTATTTGCACTACAGTTGGTCTCGCAACTCTATCGTCTTCCATTGGTTGGCAAAATATGTTTTCCTAAATCCCAAGGGTCCACAAACACCCCACCCCCACTTTTCGAAATACTTAGAATTGCAAAATCATTTCAAGGCCAATATTTATCATGTATTTAAATGATCGGTCGTCATCCGATCTTTACCTGACCCACTCCAAACTTATAGCAATATTTTTCAACTTATTTCCAACAATCTGTCACACGCTTTTTAAATTTTCTTATTGGATATAGTTTTTTTAATTCAACTAGATTCTGAACAGAGCGATTAATGTATTGATTTTACAATGATGTGTGTGTTTTTTTTTTTTGTGTGTCATTTTTTCATTACGGTTTGGGGCAGTTAAAATGCTTTGATATTCTTCAATAGTATCTTGTTCGATGGGAATCTAGTTGGTGCATTCGTGAGGTAAAATTTTAAAATATGAGTGTCCCACGGAGTTCTGACAAATGAAATAACTTTTGTTCTAATCAATATTTTTTAAAAATTTCTTTTAAATATAATTCATAGACACTTGCGCTACATTTTTAGAATGCATTTTTTATTTTTTATTTTTTAATACTGAAAATAAAAAACTTAAAAATTGATAAAATTTTTTTTCGAAATATTCAATATAGCCAATTTGTAAATCTGATTTTTAGAAAAATTTATTTGGTAAAAACACTTATTTAAGTCAAATGGCTGATTTTTTACAATTTTTTTAAATATCAATATTTTCGTTAAGTAAATTACGATCTAGTTTATGTTAGAAACATTTTAATTTCAAAAAATATTTTATATGAACATCTTATGGGTCCAATTAAAATTAATTATTATTGTAGTATCTACTGTCTTATTATAATAATATTATTTGGTGAATTAACTCAATAAATCATTAATACAATGATACACGCAACTATTGATTAAATAATTCATGTGTTTATTACTAGAAATGTATAATACTATTTTTATAATTATTCTTAGCATTTATGCTTTTCATTTTAAATAATCCGTTCGTAGAATACGATTATTTCAAAACGCAGTCATTAAAGACGCTTTACTGTTCACACATTCCCGCGGTATTGCGTAGCTTAATCTTGGTAGCTGTATTTATCAAAAACCAGTAGTTAAAATATCTTTTATCTGAAGTTACTTGTCGATAGGCCATAAATTATGTGCACAACATAGATATACAACAATATCTATAGCCCATAGGTACCTACCACGGTTATCTACTCAGGTTGGAGCACGCCGCTATGATGCTAATACAGACTGATGGTCTATGCGGCGACCGTGGTGAACTATTAGCGCTAGTAGTCAGTGGGCCTACGTTCACATTTGTATGTACTGGGAAATCGAAGATTTTTTATTCAAATCGTTAATATCGTCCAAACGACTAAAAATACGAATTAAAAACATTCCACAATTATTATAGACCGTGAAAAGGTGATAAGAACGCAACCGACACCTAACCTGGAGATAACATGATAACTGTACGAAAAAGACGAACAAAATAATTTTCTAATTTCGACAATATTGTTCTGTAATCTGTATGACTGTATGTGTTTTTGTCATTACTTAATTGGTAGTAGGTAGTTTTATTGCGATGGTGGCTAAGTGTTGTGTAGTTGGATGTACTTCAGGCTACAAAAGCAACACAGAAAAAGTGTCACAGTTTTCCGCACCAAAAGATACTGGTTTACGGCTAAGATGGCAAAAAGCTTTTTTCAGGCTACAAGAATCATTACTGGGATGAAAAAACAAAAATAAAATTATTATAAACTGTAAATTAGTTAGGTATAAAATTAGTTATTAAGTATTAACCAACTACTAAATAGGTTTTATTACATAAAGAATAAGTAATGAACAAAGTGATAATAACATATTATGTTTATTTGATATTTTATTTTACAGATATTTTATAAATAAAATAAATTATAACTGGGTAAGAAAGACTTGTAGTCATTAATTCTGACGTCAGTCATTTAGAGAGTTTTTCGAAGTATACTCGTAAGTCAAGTGTTGGGGGAATTATTTTTTTATGTAATTAAATTACATTGTACACTAATATTAAGTACTCAGCTTTCAAATAAAGTAATTAAAAAAATTATAATTTATAATCACGATTAGAATTTATTATTTCATTACGAGTGAACTCGTCCAGTCGGTAACCAGTTAGGCCTCATGACTACTAGCGCTTTAGTTCACTGCGTTCGCCGCATCGACCAGCGATAACACGCCGTGCGCCAACCTGTGTAGATAACCGTGGTACCTACTAATTGGATAGTTATCAATTCTGTGGCACTCGTTTTCTGGATTACTGGGTATTATCAGTATTATGTTCTATCACGATTTAAGATAGGAACAGTACTATCTTATATCGTGTGTTTTATCAATTATCATTTTTAATAAATACCACGGTTAAAGATATCTTTAATCGTGATAAATACTAAATAGTTATGGTCAATAGTTATCACTTATCAATAATCAAGATTCAAGAATCAAGACCCACCAAAATAATATTGTCTTTACATTAATTTTAACAGTGAAGTAATTTTATTATAATAGTTAATTATTTATTATAACATTGTTTAGAAGCAGTAATAACAATAACAGTAATAAACTAATAACATACAATTTATTTTCGAAAAAATAGTTACAAATTACTTTAATGTATTTTCAAAATGTCCACCATTACTTGATACACCTTTTTCGTATCGTGTTAATATTGATGCCGTCACAGACTTCAACATTTCCGATGTTATGGACGAACATGCCGCAATAATACGCTCTTTCAAATTATTTATTGAAGAAGATTGTTCACTATAAACACGATCCTTTAAATATCCCCATAAAAAAAAATCCAGTGGAGTAAGATCTGGAGAACGCGGTGGCCATTTAACTGGACCGTTTGTACCTATCCATCGCAATGGAAAAGTATTGTTCAAATAATTTTTAACAATATTGGCATTATGTGGTGGAGCACCATCTTGCTGTACCCACATACATTCCCGAGTACGAAGAGGAACATTTTCTAGCAATAAAGGCAAAATGTTTTCTAAAAAGTTCAAATAACGTTCACCAGTTAATGTTCCTTCATAANGAATCAGAATAATCGTGTTCTTGAAAAATTTCATCGACATCCCAATATCCTTCATCTGAAATAGTATTCAATTTTTCTTTTAGCTTCTCAATTTTTTCTTCTCTTATTGAAGTGTTTGCAGGGTCTTTAGAAATCTGTTTTAAATCTGCTATTGTTATTATAGGAGCATTATCTAAAAATATTTATATTTATATAATAGGTACAATGTAATTACATACATATATTATTATATTAGTCTATTTAATTAGTTTTTATTTTGAATTTTGATAAAATTTACCTTCAAATATCATACAATTACCGCTTTTAGGGGGCTTAATCAATGAAAATACTGAAAGCATTCTATAAAGTTGGAGGAAAGAAGGACAAGAAGGATGGTCGTTTGGACCAGCCACTTGTCGTACAATTCCAAAAAATATCTGTAAAATAAATATTAGTTTTAATGAAAACATTATTTAGAATGAAGATTATGTAAGTATGCCCATTATATATTTTTTAAAATTTTAATTATATTTACTTCCAAACAATCTTGGTTAAATTTAGATGTCAATACATATGCAAAATTTTTGTCATTCAGTAGATAATTAACTACATCTAGTGTAGATTTTAAAGTGATTTTTAAACCATAGACAGTGTTTGAAGTTAAAAAATCATTTTTTCCAATATAATTATTATTTAAATTTGATTCCCAACTGTTTATCCAATCTAATGCTTCTTTCAACACCTATTAATTAAAATATTAAATATTATATACAATAATTTTGAATATATTTTAGTAAACATTTAATTTCAAAAAAATAGCACAACTACTATAAATTAGGGACCCATTAACAAGTGTTGGTCCTAAACTTCATACAAATTAATACCAATACCATACTTTAGTTAGCAACATAATATAACATAACAATTAAGTGGTACTTAGGTAGGTACCTAAGGTGCCTACCTATGTACTACACATGAATCACAACACAAACACAGTACACAACATATAAAAAACCTCTAAGTCTCTGCTATTTTTTCTAATTCCTTCAGCGGGGAATTTTCTATTGAGAGCATCGAACATATTATTGACCATAATAGTAAATTTAATGGTATCTTCACAGTCCTTAAAACCTTCAATTTTTTTCTTCTTATAAAATTCCATACCATTTGCTACTGACATACTAAACAACTATAAAGTATATAATTACTTGTAAAGATAATTCTGCATTCATTAATAATCCAAGGTATTATTGTATTAATATGATAGGTAGTAAGTAGTATATTTATAGTAATATATTTATTATTATAGTTTTTAATAGATATAAGTATATAACATAAGTACTATGTAACATTATAATAATTACTAATTAATGTTAGTAATACAATTTAACTTTACGTCTTTACCTGAGCTGCATATTTCACCTTCATTTTTGATAGATTATTAAGCTCAAAATGATTCTTAGTTAGCCTTGGACATACTTTAAGAATTGAATTAGCTTCAATCTTGAAAATATTAGAATAATACTCCCATTTTATTGGTTTGTTTGAAGGGTGTATCTGAAAACAAAAAGTATAAGAGTATACAATTTCAGTACACACTTTTGAGTGTTTTATAATTATTTACAGTTTTAAGATGGTGGATAACTATCACTATACTCACCTGTAATTGTTTTTTTTCGTATAAACGATTTCGAATTGTTTTTAAAAAATGAGGTGCATCAGAAAACACAAAGACATTTCTTGAGGAATCGTATGGGTTTTGAAAATAATTTTGAAAATTTTCTGGTTTCGCACTTATCTATTTATAATTTATATAAATATAAATATTTTGCAAAAAAACTTTTATATTAAAATTATAAATATTACGTAATGCATATAATATAATATGTAATATGTATAGTCTGCAGACTCCCGTCCCCTAATAATATTGGGTCCCTGACTATAATATAGTATATAATGTATGTATAATATAATGTTAATATAATATTATACATTAAATACTAAAATTACCCCTAGATGACCCCACATTGTTCTATTTGTACTTGCACCATCCGTTGTAAGACCAACTACTTGGCCACCAGCATTTTCCATCAACATGATAGCTCTAATAGTTAGTTTAGCAAGATCAATACCTACAACAAAATAATTCAATTAGTATAATTTAAATTACCTATATTATTATTAATTAACCTTTAACAGTTCCTTTGGTAACAAAGACAGCAATTGGTTGAACTAAATTGTCAGCCAGACTTTGCCACATGTAAACCAATGCATGGTTAGCTTTTTCTTTTTGAGAATTATCAGTTATAATTTCACCTCCATAGTCTTCTAGTCCTATGTATGATAATGTTCGGCTATTAACGCTTACACTTTCTCGCAAGAACACTTCATCGAGCACAAGTACACCTTGTTTTTCTTGTTCTGATTTGTTCATAAATTTTTTTTTTAAAAGTTTAAAAAAATTTTTATCGAATCCACATCCTATTTCCACCGCTAGTAAGTGTGCTCTAATAGAATTAGGACATGGCAGTGGTAGTATATTATTGTTCCTCAAAAATGAATAACCACTAGGAGATCTAAAAAAATTTTTGACCCATAAAACAAAATAATGTAATTAATTTATATGTATAATTAATATTTAATTGTATTTTCAGATAAAATTTTATTTGCGCCGACATAAATACCTTATCTGTAAAAGCATACATAGTAACATCCAATTTTCACTGTACCGCCTATTTTTTGGATTTTTTATTTTAGCTGCTCTGAAAATTTCATGAATAAGATCTGATTGGCTGTTTGAAATATTGGAATCTTTTAAAATATCATCAAGTGTTGATTGAGAAATTTGTTTCATTTTATTTTTAATTTCATTAAGGCTATTTTCAAGATAAATAATTTTTTTTTTGGCTCTTGAACATTTCTTTTTCATTAGTGTTTGAGCATCTTGAATCCTTACTAATTTTTTTTTCTTGTTTGGAGAAAAAAATATGCGGGTATTTTGATTATTTTTCATGCGCCATCTCTTATTTTTTATTATATAACATAAGCGTTTACACCATATACAAATATTGCTAAAATTTTTAAATATTAAACTTAATAAAAAAAATAAAAATAAAAAGTAAAAATAATTACCTACCTATTTACAGTGTCATCTTTTAATATTGTAGAGCACTTTAAATGTCTCCATACTCCATAAGTTTCAACAAACTGGTAACCGTATGAAGACTTTATATCATTAAATTGGCTTGAAGATACAGAACCGTGACATACTTTGATTTCATTTAATTTATCAATTACATTTTGTAAATCTTCGTATGTTTCAACTTCAAAATTAGAGATGAATCCTATGTCGGTTATTTCTATTTTTTTACTATATACATATAGTATAAGTTGTAAATCTATTAATCATTACAAAATTACAATATTTAATTATAAAAAAAGTATAATAAAATAGCTTAAATAAATTAAAAATGTTTCAATAAGCCACCAATCAAACGTATTTCAATATTGTTATGGAAATTTAAAACCTTTACCTTCAGTAAAAACAAATTGTTTTTCTACAGCTCGAGTGAAATCATTCCTGTATGGTCCCAATTTATGGAAACACAAAACTTTAATTTTAGTATTAGTCTGGCTAACATCATAATACCACTTCTCTGGGAGCTTTAACAAGTAAATTTGAGACAACAGGTTTTGGAAATCTAAAGCTTTTTGCATCTAATACAATAAAAGAAAAAATTAGGTAACTTAAACCAAGTTAATTACAACACTATATGTGTAAATTACATACACATCTATGTGATAAAAAATTACATTGAAATATAGTTAGATTTAATAGAAATTAATATAGGTACCTTCAATCTTTTTGGTGATGGTAACATAAATAAATCATCATTTAACTGTGATTCACCAGATACACTATAGCTGTGCTCATTTTTAATATTAGTGATCAATATGCCAGTAGACTAAAGTTAAATAAGAAGGTACATGAAAAAATTAAGTGAATATACAATTATTTTATTGGCATTATTATTAATTGCTTTTATAATTAGTACATACTTCAGATGAGCTAGAAGTTGAGGTATTACTTTTTTGTGATATGTCAGTTAGATTTAAATCATCTTGTACATGTACCTGTATAACAGTCAACATCAAAGACGAGTTCCGTAAGTCATTGGTACATAATTATTTTATATTAATATTATAATGTAATATTCCACGATATTTTTTAAATGATAATTTTAGTGTTATGGATAATTACATTTGATACTGCAAACAACAAATCCAAACTAATAGGAATCGCATCTTTAACAAGTCTGGGCTTTTTCAAACATATCTGAAAAATATGAATTTGTATGAGTATTCAGAGTATTCTATAGTATTAATAAATAATATTATTTTACTTACTGTATACTTGCTAAGTCCTGCACCAGATTCCCAAGTATCAACTACATCCTCTTTTTTGAAGTGGTAACGGCATACTTTAGAGTTAGTTTTAAAACTAACATCTAAAACTTTTTCCCACTCATCCCTTAAAGGAGAAGTTTTAGGAACACCAAACAAACTAATTTTTAAATCCTTATAAGGACATAAAGGTACACAACATGCCATTTTTATNTTTTTTTTTGTATTTACTTATAAAACTAAGGACTCTTTCCTAATTCAGGTAGGTTTGAAAAAAAATTACGGGCCCCTAATTAATTTTGCACCCTGGGCCAAAAATAGCCAGTCCGCCCCTGAATTTATTCATTGGTTATTTGCTCGGCTCAAAATCTAAAATAAAATTTAATGATCACTTGTTTGGCTCTTCATCACATGGTACGTCAACTGAAGTACTGCAGGTACTTGTTGGTGTTTTCCTTTTGTAAACAATAATATAGTTAAAAATATAGCCATACTTACTGTATTATATATATTTATATCTCAGGAATAAATAAATCTAAAGACAATAATTACTTTGATCCATCTGCGTTTGGAGTATTTTTGTCAATCGCAGCGCTGCAGGTAGTCAAATTATCTTGAACGCGTTTGCTAAACGATGTTTAAATTTATTATATACCTGCCAACCAACTGATGACCATACATTGTTACTTAGAAGTCGAAGTATAACTTACGTGATTTTGTTTCCACCTTTCTTCTTCCTATAAGCCGCTAAAGTTTTTTTTTCAACTCTGTATTTCTTACTGCCCATAATAAACACTATTTAGACTATATAATAAACACAAATAAGAGTGCGAAAATTGCAATAAAAATGAAAATACCAACATTCGTGATTCGTCCTTCACTTACTTCACTATCTGAATGAAATTGGATTGTAAATACGAGTAGATTTGAACACGTAGTAAAAATAAGATTTGTATAAGGGTTCAATCGTTCCGAACGAACGATTACGGATAATATTATATAATAATTCCGCTATAAATAACTTTGCGATGTCTGTCAACATGGTTGGGTGGTGGGTGGTGGTACGCGTGTCCGTCCGCACTCACACTAATAATCATTTACGACTAACACATAGGTACCGGGCGGCGGCGACGAGCTTACAAATTGCCTAAATGTTGCTCCTTATTAAACAGTCACGAGCAGGCCCCATAAAAGTAAGGTCCTATTAATGTGTTATTTAATATACCACACCATACATTTATGGACCATCGAACTTGGGACTTTGTTTCTCTTGTCCAAAATGGATTTGAATCATTCCAATAATGTGCATTATGGCGGTTAACCATGCCGTTATTGTTAAAAAGACTTTCATCAGTCCACAATATATTGTTCAATATTTTACTATCCTGATCATATAAGCTTGCAATTACTGATATGAATTGCAGTCTTCTTTCTGGGTCAGATGGTTTCAATTCTTGAACACAATGTAATTTGAACGGATGAAATGAATTCTTTTTTAGTATGCGATGTACAGTTGATTTACAAATATCTGTTTGCCGAGCTACGGATCTTATTGATGCATGTGGTATGAAACTAAATGCAGCTAAAACATCAACAGTACTACAATCATCTACAGCAGTGTGATTTTTTGATCGATGGCCATCTGGAAACTTGCCTGTACAACATTTTTATTTTTTAGTCTTATTTTAAATATGTTAATGCAAAGTAGCATGTCAATTTCATAATGTAATTATTGTCTAATCGATACCTATTTATTCAAATTCATGTTTGTCTATAATCTTTCATTTTATTTGTTTATTTTTTATTCATGATGTAGCTTGCAACAAAAAATGAAAGTATTTGGTACATAATATAGGAATAGGTACAATAGTTCCTTAAATTAGGTTGTACTTTGTACATATCGATTTGTTTTTGGTTACAATGATCAATACTATAATAGGTCCTTAAATTAGGTTGTATATTCAATTTGTTTTAGAAATGTGATTATTTATTTTATTTTATATTGTATAATTAAGTATACATAATATGTATTAAGGAATAAACTGTATATTTTTTATAAAAATAAAACCAAGTTGCGCTTTATTTAATATTTTTTCAGTTATTTACTAAATTTTTTTTTATAATAGATTGTAAGTATGTAGGTACTAATAAAATTTATAAAATTCATAAAATATTTATATTATTATTAAAATTGAATTTTACCTGTTAAGCGCAATGTTTTTGCCACATTGGTAAAAGTAGCTCGTGAAGGTTGTCTTCGTTCTGGATAATTTAATAAATATTGACGAGAGGCATTTAGTGTACTTTTACCACATTCATAATAAATAGCTAACATGTCTGAATACTCAGCATTGCTATAAATGGCAGGCATCACTAAATCAATTTTAACTAATTTATATTATAGCTGAAATTTGTCAAAAGTTAGATAGGCTGTAGGAGTCTCATTAAAAAACCCAACTAATAAATACAGTATAGTTTTAAACACAAATTGTGGATTTCCAAAACCAAGATATAAAGCTTATCTTAACTTGATTAATATTTTATAAATAGTACATTTATTAGTTTTATCTAACTGGAAAGATTGACACTTGAACAAATATTCTACATGGGTACATATGTATTTGTGTAGTATTTCTGGTTTAGATTCCTACATTGAAAGGCACACGTTGTACATTATTTGTCAGTTATAATTGTTGAAAGCTTAAAGTTAAAAGTTTATTTTATAATAATGGACACTTTTGAAGATATTGGTTCATTATATTGTGAGTACATGAAAAATAATAAGGATGACAACATGACAGAATTACAATTTTTCAAGTACGCACTTAAAGATGCTATTAATGAAATGGACACTTTACGACAGGTATGTAAAAATTGAAATTAATATCTATTTTTTAACATTTTATTTATACTCTGAAAATAATAAAACACATATGTGTAACACACACATTTAAAGCAATACCATACATTAGACAATCAGTTGAAGAATAAAAAAGCAGAGAGCAATTATTATGCTGAAGATGTGATACATCTTCAAACAGAAAATAAGTCACTCGCTGAAGAAATTGTAAGTGACTTAAGTAGAATAAATAATAAACAAATAATTACATAGTATACAATTTATTTACAATAACATATTATTAGGTAACATTAAAAGTCCAAGAAAAGGCCTATAAAGAAAAATATGTAAGTTTATAATACAAGTAAAAAAAAAAAATTCTTAATATTTACAATTTTTTTCCCCGATAGATTATACTCAAAACAAAAAATGATATCCTGGAAGAAGATAATGTAAGTACTCTAGTAACAAAATTATAAAATATATCATACTTAACCCTTTCAGTGCCGAATTAATTTTTTTTAACAATAAAATGACATAAAAAAAAATTGGCCCAATATTTCCAAAGTTATAGCACATTTAGATTTAATAATAGTAAAATATAATTATAGGTATAACATTATAATTTGATAAATACACTTTTATAACAGTAATATTAATTGCAATATTTTGTACTTATTTATTTTTATTTTGATAGTCTATACTCAAAACAAAAAATGATGATTTAGAGAAAGACATTGTAAGTACAAGTATGAAAATTATTTAAAAAAAAAATGCTAAGTGTTATTTTTATAGGAATCGCTTAGAAAAATATTGGCCACAGTTGAGGTGAAAGATAAGCCGACAATAATAGATTACCAAGAAAACAAATCGGTAAAAATAAATTTAGTAAATAATAAAACACACAAGTAAACAAAATATCTAACACATTTCACTAAATTATAATTATTTACATTCAGGAGCAGCAAACTGTACATGATTTATCCTCATCGTCTAACATAAGTAATTATGTAAAAAAAGATCATTTACAGCCACTTGAAACTAAGATTTCATTTATTGAGAAACTGGTATGTTCAAAAATGAAAAATTTAAGTGTAGAAGATGAGCCAAGCAGTTTCAAAATTGTCGACGCATTGAAAATAAATGATGTATAGTATTAATTTAAAATGATTTTGATATCAACTTCATAATTTGTATTTTATTAGAATTGTACTGAATGGTGGTGTCCCAAACATAGCAAATTTTTGGACATTTTAAAGGGCATAAAAATTAGTGAACAAACTGTAGAAGATCAGTACCTAATACGAAAGGCCAAAGCAAGATTTGTATATTGGGAAGACAAAAAAAATAAAGTAATATTAATAGGTTTTTTTTACTATTTATCCTATTAAATAATTTATTATAGGTACATGAGTAATTAATGTCTTATATTTTTTTTTTTATGTTTAAGAATACACCAAGATGCCCAACTCAGGATAGGAAAAAAGGACAGGTAGTTCATTACCAGCAACCTAAATGCTGGCCATAACAATATGTTATACATATAACTTGTAAGAACTTAAATAAAAATCCTATTATAATAACTAAATATTAATTTTATTAATTTGTTTATCTTTAAGTATCTTAACAGAAACATTAACAAACTTGCATAAATCAATAACTGTGGGCCTTGAGGGTTAACTTTTATTTAATAATTAAAATATTATAATAATCATACATTTTGTGATATAGGTACAAATCAAAAAGATTGTGGGTTGAAATTATTTTTGTTTGATTTAATTGTTTTAACATAGTAGAAAATCATTAAGATATACATATTATATTCAAAAAGAAGCATCAAATATAATGTAGCTACTATGTAGCTGTTGTAGGCATTCTCAGACATTTAATTTAAAAATCAACTCTTTAATTTAAATTTAATTGTAATATAACGGTATTATTAATAATTATTATAAATAAAAAGTTCATGAACAACTAATATTCGTGATCATAAATATTTAAAAAACTATTAAAACTATATGTATACCTATTTACCTTATACATATTAGTATTGTAATACAGTTTGTTAATTATTGTAGGATACCTATGTCCACAGTATGCAGCTATGCACACCAGTGATTTCTGTTAAGATACAAATTTAGTAAAATCATTTTATTTTTGAAATACTTACTAAATTCACTTAATTAACTAAAAAAGATTAGAATTTATACTTAACGGATTGCATAAGCAGAGTATTTGTGTATAATCTAAAAAATCTTAGTAATTAAACAAATTCAGTCATTACTCCAAAAAAAAAAAAATGAATTGTCTTTTTATAATCCACCTCATTAGTGACAGAGATAGAAATAAATCTAAATGTTTTTTAAAATTATCAATAAATAATTTTGGAACCAAATAAAAGGTAGAAGTGTATGACCTTAAGTCTCATATTTTGTTGAATTCAGAAAAAGCTGTATTTGCTAAGCACTTTATAAAGTTATTGATTTTTCATAGTATTTCTAAAATTCTAATTATAACACCTATAACATTTTTTTTTTTTAAATAATTTTCTTCTCACTACTTTAATACACATATTTAAATGATTTTTTAAAAATTTTATCTAATATTAAGTGAAATATTTTGTTACATAAAAGGTACTTTATTCCTAAGTATAAATACTAATGGGAAAACCTTAAAAGAAAAAAATGTAAGTAAAACTTAAAAATAGCTAAAGATTTTTTTTTTTTTTAACATTTAATTAATGATTACAAATTAAGTTTAGTGCCAAAATTCATCCCTTAAACTATTTAGATTAAATTCACTAAACCACGACTAATACATAATAATAAAAATAATAATAATTGAATCAATAACCTCTACTTGATTTTACAACATTTTCAGAACAATACAAATATTTTCAATGATGACACAACATGTAGATTTTCAATTTGAATAATTACATCAATAGATTCATAGTTATTTAAACAACTGATATCCTAAAAAAGAATTAAAACCTATTACTATTTAATAGTTAATATAAAATATTATTTAAATAAATTATCTTACATTTTTTAAAGTTGATGTTGGTGTTATTTTAACTTAGTTTAGCAGAAATTCAATCGCACTAAAATAATTAATTGAGAAAATAAAATATATAAATATATATTTATTTTCCATACATCTGATGATTGGACCACAGCAGTTAATTCAATAAAATACATCAAGTAGTCATGTAGTTAAAATATTGTAGACACAGTATAATATAACCAAAGTTCTGAAATGGTATTAAAAATTAATAATAATCAGATTTATAAAGAGCTTATTCAGTTGTACTTACAATTAATAGCAATAGGTATGTATATTTGATTTTCTGATAATCCAATATGTATACATATTTACAAGTAGATATAAAATAGTTCAATTATAATGGAAGTTTCAATCTTCATAACTATCATACGGGAATGGATCAAATCAATTGCCCACAGTGTAAGTCAAAGTACTGCAAATATTTAACTGATTGTAAAATTTTGTATAATTTTGCATGAAACTACCCATGATTAAATATATTTTTTTGATTTATTTTAATAACAAGTAAAAATGTAAAATAATAGTATGGAACTATAGAAGATAGAAAAAAAAATATGTAATGACTAATGAGTTATGTACACTGTCAGTTGTACTTCAAAGTGTGTAGTACACAATATGACAACAAATAGGCATCAAATTACATATTGTATTAAATTAAAATGTTATTAACAAACGTGTACTAAAATCATCTCCTATACTTACATTTTGGAGCTAAACTTTTTTTGATGATTGATAGTCCACAATGTTTTGTTATCAATCATGGTATTGAAAAAATAACTTATTACATTTAACTAAATTAATTTTATGCAGTTTAGCACACGACTTTACACGAAACAGCTAAACATTATTTTAAATACCCAATCATTAACAGTTTTATCAAAATAGATTGGCATGCTATGAATTTAAAAAGGCATTGTAACGTGTATCGGTACAGAATTTCAAAAAAAAGTACAGAATGATGCATTGTCATCCGCACGAACAATGAACATCCAAATAAACTATTATTTCATTTTTACATGTTTTCAGAAAAGTTTACAATTGCTGTTGATCACGATTTCACATTTTGACATAATTATTAATTATTAATATGTTATTAATTATCTTAAATCGCATGACAAAATCGTACAGAAGTGCAGTTGATTCACCATAAACCGTTGTCCGTTAATTCTCATTCAGTTTTCAGTCATACGTGATAAGTGATAAGACCACATACCAAGAATCAATAACCAGTGCTATATTATGTAACCATCTTGGTAAATTTTAAAATGTTTTTAACTGATACTGCTGATACGGCAGGCTGCAGGCGTGGTTCACTCGAAGTTCTGGTGGGAGTGGGGATTAGATAGAAAGGTTCAAATATCCGATCCGTATGACCATTGTACTTATCGTTTATAAGGGCATTGTTAAATTGAGATATAATTTCATTTAGACTTCTGGTCTTTACTATTAGGTCTGATAAATTGCCCAGTAGCAGTAAATTTAACGAATATTTATCTAACCGTATTCTTCGAACGATTATTTCAAATGAAATGCTAAAATTAATTGTAAAATTAGTATTATACGTTTCTGGTATTAAACACATGAATAATTATTTAATCAATAATTGCGGGTATCATTGTATTAATGGTTTATAGTTTATACATCACATATTATTAAAATAAATACAATAAAAAAAATAATTAGATTTTAACATGCACCTAAAAAAACCTAAATTTTATTATAAAATATTTTTAAAAAACTTTATTAATATTTTAAATTATAAGGTTTCTAGCATAAACTAGATCGTAATTTACTTAACGAAAATATTGATATTTAAAAAAATTGTAAAAAATCAGCCATTTGACTTAAATAAGTGTTTTTACCAAATAAATTTTTCTAAAAATCAGATTTACAAATTGGCTATATTGAATATTTCGAAAAAAAAATTTATCAATTTTTAAGTTTTTTATTTTCAGTATTAAAAAATAAAAAATAAAAAATGCATTCTAAAAATGTAGCGCAAGTGTCTATGAATTATATTTAAAAGAAATTTTTAAAAAATATTGATTAGAACAAAAGTTATTTCATTTGTCAGAACTCCGTGGGACACCCTGTATNACGTTGTTTAAAGGTAAGCATCATTATTCATTGTTTACTTGTATACCTAGTGTACACTGGCTAGCGTTGTGCAAAGCTGGTCACTACCTAATTAGAAAGTAAAAATTAAGTAATTTGTAATTATTATTTTTTTTTAACTAGGTAACATTGTAGAAAATGAAATATCATCCTTACATAATAGTGAAGAATTGATACCCTTAAATGACCAATTTGCAATTGACGACCCTCCATCTTGTTCGACACCTATTGCTTCTCAATCTTGTTCAATACTACGTATGTTACAGCTTATTTTAAATGTTTCTACTGTATTTGCAGATCAGCCTAATCCTATTATAATAATTAATAATCTATTATTCTTTGTTTTAGGTTCAATCAGTGTTGATTCATATGACGCTTCTACCTCTGTTGAAACATCTTCGTCAAGTGTTCAAACACCAAACTTTTTGTCTTCAGGAACACCACGAAAACGGGTACTTCGACATAGACTTACCAATGCTCTCAACACTGTAACAGAATTAAAAAATCAACTACAACATACAACCACAATTGAATACTGCATGCAAGTTTGTAAACAACACTTACCACCATCAATTTTCTTAATAGTAGAGAATAATTTTCAAAACAAAGACAAGTCACAGCGCGGCCAACGATATTCCAAGCAGATAAAGCAATTTGCACTAACAATTTATTTCATCAGCCCCGGTGTGTTTAATTTTCTTCAAAAATCATTGTCTCTTCCAACTGTTCGGACCTTAAGGAGAGTCACTGAGCAATATGATTTACAACCCGGACTAAATGATTTTCTATTTGACTTCTTAGAATTCAAAATCAGCACCTTTAAACCTGAAGCCTTAGATTGCTTTTTATGTGCAGACGAAATGTCTTTGAAAACAAATTTGTTTTACAATGTTTCTAAAGACCAAATTATTGGCTTTAACCAATCTGGTGCATTTAGAACTTACGAGCCAGCTAAATATGCTCTTGTTCTAATGATCAGAGGAATCAACAGCAATTGGAAGCAGCCTATTGCATATTATCTTGTTTCCAACAGCTGTTCTGGCACTGATCTGAACCTCATAATTTTTTCAACTATACGCAGACTTCGAAGTATTAAACTGAATGTGAAATCATTCATCACTGATCAAGGTTCAAATTTTATTAAATTTTCCAATTCCAATCATGTCACTCCTGAAGAACCATTTTTTGAAGTGGATGGAGAAAAAGTGATTTATATTTTTGACCCACCTCACTTATTAAAGTCAACAAGGAACATGTTTTTTAAACATATGATAGAAATCAATGATGAAGTGGTGGACAAAAAATATTTGGATATCTTTTACAACTATGATAATAAATGTAATCTTCGAATGGCACCAAAACTAACTTACTTTCATATTCACCCCGGTCCATTCGATAAGATGAAAGTTCGTTTAGCAGCCCAAGTCTTTAGTGCAAGTGTTGCTGCTGGTATGTCCACAGCATTAAATTGCGGGCTATTACCGGTTGATGCACAAAGTACCATATATTTTATCAATAACATGGATAAGTTATTTGATATATTCAATTCCACAGATATCCCAAATGGTAAAATTTACAACCAGCCTTTTACAAACACAGCACCTCAGACAGACCATTTGAGTAAAATGACTGAAATGTTTAAAAACATGAAGGTTATAAACAAAATTGATAAGTCTGATGTAACAAAACGCACAAACTTTATAAATGGTTGGCTGGTTTCTATTTCCGGATTAAGAATGCTTTGGCATTCTTTAAATCCGACCAATAAGCCAGGCTTTTCAATTTGTACTGGACGTTTAAACCAAGATTCTCTGGAAAATTTGTTTGGTACTTTTCGGCAGCAACATGGCAACAATACAAATCCTACTCCAGTTCAATTCATTCAGTCTTTTAAAAAAATATTTTGTCTTCAGTACTTCAAACATTCACCTGGGGCTAATTGCATTGAAGATCTGGACCAAGTTCTAGGCCATATGAATGACAAGCCCAATAACAAAATAATGAATGTGCTTGCTCCTGAGGAAAAACATATATTTAAGTTCAAATCCTTACAAGTTGGTACAGTGGATTACAGAAAACTGAATATTCCAGAGGCTAATGCTTATACTTACGTATGTGGATATTTGATGAAGAA